ACTAGTCTACTCATTTGATCTTGGTCAATATGGCCAAGTCTAGCATGCCACTTAACAGATTCAGAATCACAATCAAAGTGAGAAACATAAGCAAGCATAGAATTATTATATATATTATATTCTAAGTCAAGAACAAATAAATTATTTCTTAAAGACCCATGAACAAATACATCGATATGATAGAAAATGTCTAAAGTACCAAGCTTAAAGTTAAAAGAGAAACCCAATCTCAATAAGGAAACAACTGAAAGTAAACAACATCGCACCTCAGGTGCATAGAGAGTATCAAGAAAGAGTAAAGTATTTCTTATACGTAGCTTGAATTGGTATGTTCCGATTCCAAGGACATCCTCTTCTTTGTCGTTGCCCAATACAATAGTTTGCGAAGCCACTAAAACACGATGGTAGTCCATGAATCTAGTTCGATCTTAAATTACATGTTTGCTTGCTCCCGTGTCTACAATCTAATTAAGAAAAGAATTAGCAACTAATGCATGAGAACAAACAAATAAATCAAGAGGCAAAATAAAGAAAGATACCTTCTTCAGCTCGGAACAATCATGAGTGAATTGACCCTTATTGCCGTAGTTGTAGTACTTCATACATGCTACATTTTTTTTTATATAGCCCTTAGCCTTATGTTGTTTGGCCACACCACATTTAGGTCCATTGGCTTGAAAAGGGCGCCAACGTTTCTTAAATTGCTTGGCATGATTAGGCTTGTTTCTCTTGGGTCTGACTCCATAGGCAACAAGTGCCACATTGGAAGGATTAAACACCTTTTAACACTCAACTTCCATCTTAATGTGCCTACCAATTTCAGAGAAAGTATTAATATGTTCACTATGAACTATCAAGAGTTCAAAAATTTTCCAACATTCAAGTTCATCTAGAAGTGAACGAATCACATTTAAAACATACTCCTAATCTCTTTTGTCATGCCCTCCAGCCTTAAGGTCACGAACCATAGCACTCATGACACATAAATGTTCAACTATACTGTGTTTTGGATCCATTTCATATTTCATCCACTTTAAATCCAAGGCATGGAGCCTTGCAGTGGATGTCTAGCTATAAGTGACCTAAAGCTTATCCCACATATTCTTAGCCGTAGAACAACTCTCAAACTCTCCAATGAGATCGTTATGCATGCAATACAATCCTTCTTGGAACATTCTTAGTATGCAACCGGATCCTCATTGTAGCAGTCACTACTGATATTTTTTAATTCATGTATAATAGTGGTCAAGGTTTCCAAAATCTCGTGCTCATTAAAAAGATACTAAATCTTTCTATGTCATATATCATAATTTATTCCATCTAACTTCTCGTTGGTTGACAAATCAGTAATCATGTTCTTAGTTGTCATTTCTACAAGTATATAAAAAAATAGATATTATGCACGATTTTTTATAAATAAATTATCAAAATTTCATTATTTATATCACATACTCAAAAATTTTGCTAGACTCATAATCATCATATATGATACAAATTAAAAATATTATAATTTACTTATCGTAACAAAAAAAAAGAATATATCCATGTAACCATTTAATTTTGCCAAATTAATTAACATAAAAAAATATTATATAAATATATGTAGTTATCTCAATCTTAACAAAAGTTGCATAACTAACTAATGTACATAAACTAATTAATATACATTAGTACAGTGATAATAAAATAACATAACAAAATATTAATATACTGTCCAAATAAATAAAATAGTATACATACATAGAATACTATTAAAATACACATACGACCAACTAATGGATATACTCAAATACATATATATTCATATGTATTTATTTTAAAAATGGGAGGTCTTGAGTTCAATTATCAATCTTACCATTTAATTTTTTCTTTTTCTTTCTTGAAGAGAAAGAAAAAACAAAATTGATGAAATCACCATCATCATATGAGAGAGAAAAGAAGAAAAAAATAACAATAAAATAAAAAAAAGGAAAAAAAAAACTCATTTTTTTCTTTCGACCATATGCATATATATATATATATATATATATATCTCTATCTCCTTTTTCTCTTCCTTTTTTGTCTTTTTCCAAGCACACACATTGCAACTTTTTTTTTTCAGTTTTCACCTATGGCTAAAAGTTCAATTTTTTTTTTCTTTTTAAATGCCTCTATGGGAACCAAAATACCCAAATTTTGTTATCGGTAGCCGTAACCACCACAAATGCTTATATATATTCAGCTATCTCAACATTTACATTTAGGAGGAAAATAAGAGGAAGATAAATGGGCCCCTCATGCGGTATTTTTATTTTCAGATTCTTAGAAAATAAAAAATATATATAAAAAAAATAGCATGTTTTTTGAAATTATTATAAAAAAATCAATAAATTTAAAGCAGCTTGGAGCATCATTATTGCGGAGACAGATGCAAGCAATTAGGCTCTGATACTACTGTTAAAAAATTAGGACTAATCTTAATGTGGAAACAATAAGATAAA